TTATACCGGGTGCGTCTCAAAAGTGGCTCACCGCTATAACTTTTTAATTTTTTTTAGATAAAAAAACGAGATTTGGTATGTAAGTACATGACATAAATTAGGAATTATGGACGTATTCAATTGTTTTTGGTCACTTCCTGTTTCACCGGAAATGACTACAACTTTTGATTTTTAAATGACACCCCCGGTATATTTTTGCATTATTTGATAGAAAATGACACTCTGAATCGAATGACATATTATATGTCAACTTTTGACATTCTCGCTTTAAAAAAATTGTATTTAAAAATTCAATCTAGAGTGCCATGGCTGTGTTAAAAACACTAATTTTTAATCAAGGAGCCTTGGAAAAATAGATTTGATAATCTAATGATTTTCGTGTCTTGTCCGGGCCCGTTCTTATAAGATGCCCAGATCGTATTTTTAATCATATCTCAATTTTTAAAAACGGAACCAGGGAGGCTCGTTAGCATATTTGGAAAAAGAATTTTTTACGAATAATTTGGTACCACACACTGGTATTTCGAGTCAAATTGTCATTATGAACCGCATGTTACAATTTCAAATAAACCATATGCGAAAATGTAAAAAAATTGCCATATTATAATATGTCATTCTCTTGAGGGTGCATCCACACTATCCTAAAAAGGGCGTATCGGCGTATCGGCGTATCGGCGTATCGGCGTAACGACGTAACGGCCTTGAATAGATTTCCAGTAATTCTATTGGCGGATGCGTCTCAAAAGTGGTCCACCGCTATATCTTTTTTATTTATTTTTTTTTCAATAAAAAAACGAGATTTGGTATGTTAGTATATGACATAAATTGGAATTGATTGATGTATTCAATTGTTTTTGGTCACTTCCAGTTTCACCGGAAATGACTACAACTTTTGATTATTAAATGACACCATCGGTATGTTTTTACATTATTCGATAGAAAATGACACTCTGAATAGAATAATATATCATATGTCAACTATTGACATTTTCGCTTAAAAAATAGTGTTTTAAATTTCTATCATGAGTGCCATGGATGTGTTAAAACACTAATTTTTAATCAAGGAGCCTTGGAAAAATAGATTTGATAGTCTAATGATTTTCGTGTCTTGTCCGGGCCCGTTATAAGATATCAAAATCGAATTTTTAATCATATCTCAATTTTTTGAAACGGAACAAAGGTGGCTCGTTAGCATATTTGGAAAAAGCATTTTTCTGCGAATAATTTGGAACCACAATTTGGTACTCAAAACAATTGAATACGTCAATCAATCCTAATTTATGTCATATACTAACATACCAAAACTCGATTTTTTATCTGACAAAATAAAAAAAAGTTGTAGGGGTGAGCTACTTTTGAGACGCACCCGGTATACGACGATCGATTTAAATGAAAATAATTATTAATTTTTAAATACTTCTACAACGAAGTCATAGTATCGAAATAAATTTCTAGGTACTCGTACATTTTTTTGACACAACTGTCGATTTAGACGAAAAAATTTTAGATACTTCTACAGCGAAATCACAGCATCGAAATAATTTTGTAGTTACTCCTACACTCCTACACTCCTATTGACACGACGCGACGATCGCTGATCGATTTAGATGAAAAAAAAATTAGGTACTTCTACAACGAAATCATAGCATCGAAGTAAATTTGTAGGTACTCTTTATATAGAAATAATTTTGTTTCTAGTATTTATTAGCCGAACGACCGGCTTCGACAATAAAAGTTTAGTTACTTCTACAAATCCGGTGATGACAGCAATTCAAAAAAAAGATTAGACCGTAAATTATTGATATTTTTAAATGAAACTAATAGGAATAATTTTAAAAGAATACTTATTTTCATTTTTTTCGCCTGAATTTCTTAATATTCTAATTAGAGTATGAGCCATTTTGTTTTCTACCAAATATAACACGGCTATATCTTCGTTTCCCTTTAATAGTTTGCTTTACCGTGTTGCCGGTTCTTGGGTCTAAATCGGCTTATACACTTATACTAATGTCGAAGGTGGCGCCGCCCGTGACAATACCGGTGTACCCCCAATCGTATATAAAAAACATAAAACCATTTTTTCAGGCCCAGCTGAAATTAGGTCAGGGGAAGTGGGAAACCGTTCTAGACGATAACCACTAAAATCGTACTCAGACCCGACCCCGGGCCTGAAATGTCGAAATCGGGTCTGAGCCCAATAAGCAACGTAGTTTTGGGCTCGTATAAGCAGTTTAATAAATCTATATATATATATATATATATACACATATATATATATATATATATATATATATATATATATATATATATATATATATATATATATTTAATTAATAAATATATATATATATATATATATATATATATATATATATATATATATATATATATATATATATATATATATATATATATATATATATATATATATATATATATATATATATATAATAACTGCCTGCTATATATATATATATATATATATATATATATATATATATATATATATATATATATATATATATTAACTAACGTGATTAAGTCATTGATATAATCCTATGAAGTGCCGTGACGTCCGCAAAAAGACATATTTTGCCACTGATGTTTGTTAGCAATGTCGTTAATAAAAAAAGAAACAAAATAGGGTCTAGGGGTCTGGTCCACTTTAGGTACGTCAAAATTTTAAAATTTTCTATACAGAATTGAGAAGAGGACCACTTATAATGACATTTTCTAAAAAAAAAGTGCGGATCGTCTGTAAATAACACCAAAAACAAACCCCCAAAAAAGAATGTTGTAACCAATGCAATCAAAACTCAGTTACGGCGGACGTTTTTACCATTGTGATCCTCTTCTCAACCTTTAACACAGATCAAAATATAATATCTATTCTTATCAGCTTAATATCGCTACCGCTATTTTTCAAAATTAATAGGAAAGTATAAATAAAACAAAATTTCGATTCTCAATATTTCATTGTTACCGCTAGCGATATACGTAGACGCGAGCAAAAGACAAATAAACCTAAATCTGCGTCTTCCTTATGTCACTCTTATTAAACTTAATAAGGAAAGCTAAATTCTAACCTCAAAAAATAAATAATTTTATTGCAGAAATCTTATTTAGCCGAGTATCCGTACGATCCGTACTTAAAACGTTAAAACATTAATTGTAGAATATATTAATATCAAATTTACATCAATAACTTCAAGATTGACGACATACCTAAAGTGGACCATCACCGGGCCTAGTACTGAGCCTTGTGGTACTCCACATTCTATTGGCTTGCTAGAAGACAACTTGGTATCCACCCTCACAAGTTGATTTCTGTTGCTCAGATATGACTTAAACCATTCGAGAGATGTTGCCCTGAACCCCTTAGTGCTGCAGTTTATTAATTAGGATCTTATAGTGATTTACACAGTCAGACATAGAAAAATCACAGAAATTGTTGCTGTAGAATGTTGGTTATTTAGGCTGGAGTAAACTTTATTAAGGAGGAAAAACATAGCGTTATTTGTGGACTTGTTGCTTAGAAATGCAAATTGATATTCAGTAAGTATTTTGTACTTAAACAGAAAAGATACCAGCCTTCCTTTAACCAACCTTTCTATGATCTTAGATAGCGTTGGAAGGAGTGCAATTTGGCGATAGTTAGAAGCTTCATCTTTGTCTCCTCCTTTATGCAGAGGAATGATTATTGTCGTCTTAAGATATTTTGGAAAAATATCATTTTCGAATGACATGTTTATTAAAGTAGTTAGGTGATTCAGAGTGCTTTCTGGCGGATTCGAAAACATTTTTAAAGTTAGCCCGTCGGTCCCAGATAATAAAATTGCTGAACAAATGTCAACACGAAAAGGAAGACGTTATTCCGAAAGAGTTGTATTGTTGTATAGTGTTATTGTACTCAACAATAGCGTGGTTGTTGGGTACAATAACAAAAAATATGCGCCAAGCCTATGGGCTTGGTGCATTCTCCGCCGGTGCTGCCACCGTCGGAGAATATCGTAAACAACGAGTATATACAAATGCACGAATTTAAATAGCGAGTATACGAAAAATGTATTATATAATTATTCTAAAAGTGTTTCTGAGTATAATTTGTGAAAATTCTAAAAATAAAAATAAAAAAGTAAATATCCTGATATCTTCAGAAGGTCTAAATAATAAATTATATAATTAATTATTCCAGCTAAAAAAAAATGTTTTAGATGATTTCAACTACGACAGCAGGCCTAGCTTTAATGACCGGTTTTGCTAGTGGGGTCATAATTGGGGCTTTTTCGGCTATAACGTTTTTTTTGAAGGTAATAATTATAATTTTAGAAGATGTTCATAAAACATTTAATCACTAGTTGATTAAAAAAGTATACCATTAATATTGCAAATTATATTTTATCCTCTGATAGTATGTCTATTTAAATTTTTGATTATGTAACGAGCACTTTGTTTACTCACTTGTTTCGTCCAGCTGCTTAAATCCATATTTTGCTTTTGATCAAATCGTTGTGAGAAACTATGAAGCTCTAAAATGTTGTTTCGGGAGAGTTGAATATTCGGGAAGTTGAGTTATTGCATTCAACAACACGTTAATTACGCTCTCCTTTACGCGTTAACAGTTTTTCAGCAATTTTATTAACTTTTGGAATTGGCTTGAAAACACAACACGACGCCTAGTTCGAATTCTTTTTCACTTATTTTTTACTACCCGAAATGGCGTTACATCACACAAACCTCCTACCTGAGTGTTTTATAGTCTCAATAACTGCACTAGCAAAAAACTAAAATAGTTAAATATTATGACAAAGCCACGATTTCAATATTATTTTAATGCGATCAACATGAACTGTACCCGGGACGGCGCGAAATACATAGCGAAAATTTCTTATTTCCGCCGTATACAGCGCCGCGGTCGGAATTTTTTGAAATCAACTGAACTGCACCAAGCCTACACATAGGTATAACATACATTACAAAATATTACCCATACAAATTACCTTTGGTGCCGGCTTTGGGGCATCTCCACCATTATTCTCCTTTTGTTCCTCAGGTTTCTTTCTCTTGTAAAAAGGTTCGCTTTTTGGATTTTTCTTTTCAGCAATATATATCAACTTTGTTTCATCAGGAGAAAACTCAAATGTTCCAAATTCGACTAAAAACAAATAATCAACGTGATTTGAAATATTTGTTTCTTTAAATAGGTACTGTCGGTATAAACAGATCCGTGTATATCCAACGACGTCAAATCTACTACTCGTATTAAAGTATTGCTTTGCCAAACCTCTAAATATTGTTTAGTATCATTTTCTCGAATAACCGCTTTTAATTTACTTGATTTAGATATCTGAGAAAGCGATCTAAAATATAAGAAATCAAAATTAATAAAAATTAAAAAATTGCAGCTATATCTATAAAACTATGACCAATAGTAAAGCTATCCTAGGATACGAAGATCTGAACATAAATGGTTTAGAAAAAATTCTCTGCTTTTGAATGGAGCTGCACCAATAGATAGAGTCCTGAGTCGATATTTCTGAAACCGAGGGATTTTAACCGGGAGCTAGATCTTTTGCAGACGGCTCGAAAGTCTTGTCCTGGCCGGTTAAAAGATGCCCATATTGTATTTTTAATCATATCTCAATTTTTTCAAATGGAAGGAGGGTGGCTCGTTATCATATTTGGAAAAAGCATTTTTTTACGAATAATTTGATACCACACACTTGGTATTTCAAGTAAAATTGTCGTTATGAACCGCATGTTATAACTTCAAATAAACCATATGCGAAAATGTCAAAAGTTGATATATGATATGTCATTCTATTTAGAGTGTCATTTTCTATCAAATAAAGTAAAAAAATGTCGATGGTGCCATTTAAAAATCAAAAGTTGTAGTCATTTCCGGTGAAACCGGAAGTGACCGAAAACAAATATGTCAATCAATCCTAATTTATGTCATATACTAACATACCAAATCTCGTTTTTTTATCTGAAAAAATAAAAAAGTTATAGGGGTGAGCCACTTTCAAGACGCACCCGGTATATCGGTATAAAAACATTAGGCGATCAAATCTATTTTTCCAAGGCTCCTTGATTAAAAATTAGTGTTTTAATTAAAAACAGCGATGGCACTCTAGATTGAAATTTAAAATACGATTTTTTTAAACAAAAATGTTAAAAGTTGACATACGGTATGTTATTCTATTCATTTCATTGTGTCATTTTCTATCAAATAAAGTAGAAATATACCGAGGGTGCAATTTAAAAATCAAAAGTTTTAGTTTTTAGTCATTTCCGATGAAACAGGAAATCAACAAAAACAATTGAATACTCAGTCAATCCTAATTTATGTCACATACTAACATACCAAATCTCGTTTTCTATCTGAAAAAATAAAAAAGTCATTGGGGGTGAGCCACTTTCGAGACGCACCCGGTATTGAAAAATAAAAATTTTCATCAAACAAATATTCTAATAATTCTTCCTTTAAAATTTTATTTGCATCAAATAACGAAAAATACTATTTATTTAAAGATTATCTATGTAGAAAGTGCCTCTAGTAAAAATCTATTAAAAAAATAAGACTTGCAAGAGTCTTGCAGCAAGACTACTTATTACACTGCAAGACCAAGACCAGTGGAATCCTGAAAACTAAAAAACTTGTCAAAGAATATAGATTTTTAAAAAAATTGTCACTATTAAGCGGTTTAGACAGTGTAGACTAGGGGTTTAGAATGTTTTTTCTTATTTTTACCATTTCTACAGGAATGAATTTGTTTCTTTACAAGCTTCTCAGAAAAATGTAACAGTTGGGTCTATTTTAATAAAGAACCATAAAAATCGCCATTATGCCCAGTTGTCGCACAAAATACTAATTTTTAGAGTCAACAGGCCAGAGAAGAATTAGACAGATGACATCCACAAAATGATATGTTACCTGTTACTTGTTACTCGTCACTGTCATGTATTCTCTTCTTTAACAGACTTTACCTTGATGCAGTCTAATATAATCTAAATAAAAGTATGTTCCTAAATATTCATTCTCTTACCTCAAAATTTAATTACAAATTGCAAATTTTAAATAAATAATATTATTAAATAAGATTTTTTTGGCTTTCCCTGCAAGTAATTTTCTTATACAGGGTGGACGAAAATCTATATTATTGACTTTTATCAAAAACCATTCACACAAAAGTAATGCCATTTGGTATCTGGATGCCAAAAATCAAGTACCTAGCGTTTGTAGGTATAATAATTTTTCATATTCCATATACAGGATGTTCCTTTATGACATGCTAATTAAGAGGGTGTTTCCTGGACATATTATAAGAAAAAAACTTCATATAAATGTGTGTCCTAAACGTCTTAACTTTTGAGATACAGGGTGGTAAATTTAAAAAAAAAATACTTTTTTTCATAACAACTGAGATGTTATTAAGGACGGTCCACACTTGCTATATAACACTGCTATATAGCAAAGTTATATAACATGTTACATGTTTTTAGTCATATTTAGCTAATTTCGCTGCTATATAACTTGCTAGATGTTATTCATTTGTAGTCGGTAAAGATCAAAAGATGTTGTTTACACTGCTATTGTAACATGAAACAATGCGTCCAGACTTGCTAAATTTCTAGTTTAGCCGCTTATATTTTCATGGACGCACGCGACAGAATTTTAGTGTGGTGAACTGGTATTGGTTTGTTTATTTACTGGTCAATAATATCGTAAGATCGAAAAAAACTGCGCCCAGTTGGCTTGGACATGACGATCGATGACATTCCCCATATAATTTTCCATATAGAATGACAGCGATCTTCATTTCATAGCCATCGCTGACGCCATTTTTTTCGATCGTATTGTTCTTATAGTAATGGAGTAGAGCCAAGAGCAGACTTGTCAAGTAATTAAGTTGTATAGAGATCATACAGTGTAATGGGATATCCGTAGTCCCTCATTTAAAGTGAAATAGAAAAAAGCATCATGCACGGTTAAAAATTGCAAGAAGTATGTATTTGGAAAAAGAAAAAGTTTAGAAAAAAATGTTATCCGAGGCGTTATCTAATAGGTCAGTTCCAGAGGGAACAAAAGAAATGCAAATCAGGTACTGGTTTAGATGAAGTGGATAATTAAAAATGGTTTGCTTTTATGTTATTAATAAATGTTTTTAAATGACAGAAACACACCACGAGAACAGCCGAGGCAGGTATTGAAAAGGTAAGCTAATTGAGTTCAACTATATCTAGATCTTGCGGACTCAAAACCGCCTTTTTCTCGACTTTCTTTCTCTTTCTTCAAAAGTTATTACGCACGCCGCTGCTGCGAGCAGAACCTCTTTCTCGTCAAAACGATTCATGATTACGAAAACTATAATGTGGACGGCTCCCGGTTTTTTAACATGTTACATGTAGCTTGTTAAATAGCAATGTTATATAATATGTTACTAAATGTGGACCCTCCTTTACAGATATCTTCGTGAAACTTGGTACACGTTTTCTATTCATCAAATCGCCTGTTTTAATTTACTAACAATTTTATTTATATCAACCAGAGGCGTCCATACCGGTTTTGCATTGAATATTTCTGAAAGAAAAAATGGTACGCCATTGACTTCAAATAAAAAATATTTTGAAAATCTTCATTCATTTCTAAACAACTTACATCTGCTGAATTTTTTCGTCGGACGCATAGTTTTTGACCATTTGTGGAAACTGTTTTTGTGTCTATGAGCATTGGATGAAAATTAAGAAATACAACAAAAAAATTTTGTGCACCAAAAAAAATATAGTTTTATGCATAGAAGACGTGTATGAAATTTCATAAAGATAATTATAATAACCTCTAACCTAAAAGAGTTTATGAAAAGGTTTCTTTTCAGAAAGTTTTACCGCCCTGTATCTCAAAAGTTAAGATATATTAAGACATACATTCATATGAAGATTTTTTTTCTTAAAATAGGTCCAAAAATCTCCTCCTTAAATATTAACATGTTATTAAGGAACACTGTACAGACTGTTCTTTCTTTATCCATGGGGTGTTCATAATATACCTACTCACTACTCCACTTGTAATTATTTTACCATAATTTTTTATTCCCAAATTAATAGATTTAACAAAATACCTACTCTGTAGATATATCAATTGGTAAAATTTCTCCCACTTTTTCAAAATTGTTTAGCAGAATTGTAGAGCTAAATTTAGCCGATTTTCCTTTTTCAATGTTCCTTTGGGACCAAGTCGTGCTAATTATATTTGGAGATTGAATTTGTCCAGCACTTAAAGCAGATACGCTAGATAAAGACTTGTATGTTTTTACTAATTTATCAATCTAAAAAGTAGTAACATGTAACAACATAAAATATTATTTTCATTACAAAATAAAGTAAAACTTACCTTGAAGCCATTATAAATTTGATGATATATTAGTTATAGTTGCAGTAAAAGAAAAAAAAGACCGTGTATACTCCTACAATAAATAAAATATGAATACAAAATAATTTTACTTATCTTTATTTTTGTTCAAATATTTAACTATATAAAGCCAATGTTTAACACCAAAAAACCTTCAATTTGAAATAATAAAGGAAATTTTGTGCATATCATTCTCTAAATATATCTCCGTACCTTTTTATCTCTTTATATTTGTAGATTTTAATTTTTGTATGGCTAATATCTTTTAATATTTAAAATGAGAATAAAAAATAAAAAACAAAATTGAATTGTTGAGGTTAACCACAATTAAAATTAAAACAAGATGTAGGATAGGCAACTAGTAAATACCGTATGATCGAAAAAACCCGGCGTCCAGTTGGCTTAGAAATGACGATCGATTGCCCATATAACTTTACATATATGATGACAGCGATTTTACCATGATAACTTTACATAAAATGACAGCGATCTTCATTTCATTCTTTTTTTCGATCATACGGTAGCTTTTTTCGGGTTCTTGTTATTACCGATTCTGAACCGTCCTAGAACTCTGCAGCGCATGCGCAAATGAAATAATGTCTTCATATTTCCTTCTGCGCATACGCATCACAGTTCTAGGACGGTTCAGAATCGGTAATAACAAGAACCCGAATAAAGCTGGTATTAGCTTGATTTCCGTTCGTTAAAAAATGTTATATTACAAAAAAAGCGATTCAGGCAGAAATTTCTTTCCTGTGCCAGAGCCTGTGCCTAAGTTTAAAGGTGCCATTACACGGCGCACAGTGGGGTATTTGACACAAATAGTTGATCGAAATTTTTTTATATAGACCTAATATAAATTATTGCTAATTTCAATTAAAGAGGAAATAATATGAACAAAATAAAGGATAATTCGTCGATTCTATAAAAAGAAAGAAAAATTACTGTTCCAGTGTTTCCACGGACAATGCCACTAGTACCAGTAGTAATATCGCAACTAATACTACTAATGCTACGACTGATCCGCGAGCAATGCCCATACCACTAAAGTCGCTACTAATGCCAAATTGTGTTATACTGCTAATGGCACTAATGCGATCGCTTTGTACACAACAATTCCATCCCGGTTTACACCTCGCATTAGTATATCACTGATTGGCAAATTAGAGGAAACCAAGAATGTTTTTCTCATTTTATCAGCAAAGTCGCAAAAAGTCGCAGTATTTTATTTTACTGTATGAAAGCCCAATGTTTACTAAGTAAAACGTATATATACAATATGCTGAATTCTTCGAAATGCGCAACTAAATCTCTAAGTATAATAAAAATGTCACAAATTTAATCAAATTTTCTGAACGCCCAACTTTTAGTTGCAAAAAAAATCGTTAGTATAGAGAATATCAAAATTAATAATACGTTTTTGTAGAATAGATACCTGCAGCTTGCTGAGCCATTTTCAATCAAAACAATAATATAAACGTAAAAAGAGCACAAGAACAAAAACAATTTATAATTTTAGACATAAAATTTAGCCATTTTCCTCTTATCTGTGAGAAGTAACAACTTTGACCGCATGACTGTGACCTTTCGTTGAAACAAATGAATGCAACTAAACACATCCATAGCAACGCCATTCATTGCAGACATGATTTAACTTATCATTTATCTTTTTTTGGAAAATCTTAAACACATTTGCTTTTTCGATTTTCGATCACCTTTTTCATGCTAAGTGCTAATACCCCACCGTGCGGCGTCTTGCTTGCGGTCGAGCCAGGACGCGCCAATGCGTATTTTCGCACTTGCGATCTCACGCCCGACCGAGAGACAGAGACAAAAAATACATTATATAACTTTTTAACATAGACCCGTTTATTAAGATCTTCTTACAGTGCCATACTCTATATATATCGTCGGCTACCTCTCGCATGTACTTGTGATGTGTGTCATCAGTGTTTCACAAGTACACGGGACCTACAGTTTATCGCCAAATCCGAATGGCACTATTTGAAAGGCTATACAAGGCAAATATACTCAAGGTGGTTTGCCATTGCCTTCCTTGAGGTGGCGGCTTGTTGGTCGCTCTATTTAGATAAATAAATATTTTTATTTAAATAAATAAAGCGACCGTACTGGCTGGGGATCGAACCCAGTACCTTCCGCTCCGCAGATCGACACACTAACGCTGGACCTATGGCCGGCCACTTATTAAGATAACAAGATGGAAAGCAAAATCATCTGGTTAAATTAAATTAAATTAGATAATAATACTTTTTTTAACTAGGGTTATTTATGTTCAAAAGTTAAATAATATTTTTTTGCCTTATTTATGAAAATATTATTTTAGAGTATATCATATTTTCAGAAAGCCCATAGCAAGGCAAATAATATAAAAAAATAATATACTGGGTGTCTCATTTAAAAAATAGAAGTCAGATTTCGAAAATGAGAACTATCAGCGAAACTAGTTAACATCACTGGATTCTAGTAAAAAACTAAACGAGACTGAGTTTTCACCTTTTCGATAAGTTATAAGATAACCGATATACGATGGAATCGAAAAATGCAACATTTTAAAATTCGCCCTGTATTTTAGGAACTAAAAAGACTAGAACAACAGAACTCTCCTTTTTTAATTCTTTAATTAATTAATTTTTTAATTCGTTCATGGTGCAATTGATACTCAAGTTTTGATGTACCTATTCTCAGGCAGCCGTCGTGTATTTCATTTCTATTTTTATGTGCATTATTATTTCTGGGGTTACAAGTTATTTGTTCTTTTTCATATAGGGGTAAAAACTCAGATATAGTCTCGTTCGACCAAGACATGTTGAATCTCCGTTTTTCGATAGATATGGTAGGTTACATAATCAAATGTATCACATACCTACTGTGTCCAAAGTAAACAATTTTTTGTCGTACCGGTTAATACCTGGCCGGCTATAAATCAGTTCATTTGTGATTGAACTAATCGCACTGAGGGGTAAATTGGTACCTATAATATATTGTTATAATCATCGGCAATTACCACCGCCAATAAATTAGTATAGCTATACAAATTTTAAATAGCATAATTGTACAAAACTTTATGAATTAATATTTCTATAGCTTAAGTATAAATTAAGTATCAAATACAATTATTACAGATACATAAATCACCTCAGCAAAATGTATATAGTGCTTCTCACCCTTCTAGTAATAGTCAACATTTTTGACATGCTCTACACCCTTGGGGGTATTTGTATGTAACTTATATTATTATACTTAGAACTGATAAACTATATCTATCTATACTAGTATATCCTTATACAGCATTTAGGACAAATAATAATTTTAAACAATAACATGGTATATTATATTGGTATACCCTGTATTTATCAGTAATTTTTATACCTAATTAATGTAATATTTATAGATTTTTTTAAGCTAATATCAAATTATGTATGTTTGCATAAAATGGAGTTATAATTTAAAAAAATAAATAAATTATGTAACAAATAAAATTAACTGGATTTAAAAGAATTACTGGTGAAGACCTCGCACGGCGCGTTTGCTTTGAAATTTACTGCCAGTCGACGGGAAGGACGCGCCGACCGAAGATCGGCGTGCCGACCCATTCACACCGACCCATTCATGCGGCGCGAATTTTTTGTTTCAGGCTCGGCGATCCACGCGCCGTCTAACTGCACATATACCTGGTCCGTGGCCCGAAGATCGTCGCACCAACCCATCACACGGAGTGCGGCGCGAAATTTTTTGTTTCAGGCTCGGCGAACCACGCGCCGTGTAACGGCACCTTAATATTTACCATTAATAAGAAATGCACCGTTTTAAATTCCATTTATCTCCCGTATGGTCGAAAAAACAGCTTCCTGTTTGCGTCGAAAAGACGATCACTGATGTTCGCCATATAAAATGACGGTGATTTTCAGATTAAAGCCGTCTCTGATGCCTCGATCATATTGCACCGTAAAGGCCCCCACAGACGTCGTTCTTTTTTGGCAATTTTACCCGCCCGGTTAAAACGGTACGGATAAGATGCGTCAGTGTGTGGCCAAAAACTGTCCTTTTTGGCCGGCGTTCAAAAATATCTGCCACTGCTTGATTTTAACCGTCCGTTTTAAACGCCTTCGTTCAAGTCTGTCAGTGTGTGGTGGGAAAGCAATTAAGAAGGACGGTTTTTATCAGTGTCCAATCACTTCAATCTCACACAAACAATAATTATTGTTAGTTTTGAGTAGCGAGTGATTTTAAAATGTTGTATTTTTATCTTAAATAAAAATATATTGCTGTAGTTTTTACAATGACTGACTTAAGAAATTACAACAAGCCATTTGTAATTGAGTTCATAGAACTGTATAAAAGCCATCCGTGCCTGTGGAAGGTTAAATCTACGGAGTATTCTGATAGAGATAAAAAAATAAAGCTTACGAAGATATTTTATTAACAAGATATTTTTATTAGCATATGAAAATTGTCTTGAGTAACCATTCTTTAGCCCATTTGGAACGTTGTTTTTTAGAATATTTTATTTTAATAGCAATTCCGGCAACCAATGTTTTTGCCATCACCAATGATTTTGCCCGCAATTTCAAACAAACTGAACGAAACAACGCCTATGTGCATGATACAAGAAGGTTAGATAAGATACTTGGCGGTCGCAAATCTGTTCTCCGCGCGCATGACGTCACTAGGGTAGTAATTTTCTGTTAAGCTCCGCCAACTACATGCGCAGTATCTTATCTAACCCTCCTTGTATCATGGCCTATGTGTGGACGAAGTCGTTGTTCGTGTTTAATCGTACTGTTTTACCCGTGCGGGTAAAATTGCTAAAAAAGAACGACGTCTGTGGGGGCCTTAAGGTACCATATGATAGAAATAAATCGGCGTCTAGATGGCTTTGAAATGACGATTGAAGACACATATAATTTTACATAGAGAGATGACATCAATCTTTATTTCCAAGCTATCTACGACGCCATTGTTTTTCGGTAGTATGGTATTTTTTGGTATACAGCTGTCATCAAATCACAATATGAAAAGTATGCACCGGAGTATAGGCAATTTATTTCTGATTATTCTTCTGATATTCTACTAACACCTAATTGTTTATTATTATGAATAATAATTTCAGTCATGTTTCTAAATTTGCTTGCTATAAAATTTAAATTTAATAATATGAAAAAAGTTACATTATTTTTTTAAACTTTAATGATACACAAATACAAAATACTCTTGAATAACATTTATTTTCTTTATCATTAACAAAACGTTCATATAGTCTAAACAGAATAATAATAGTAATAAATAAAAAGGAAAAAATTATATAGTTAAATAAATAAGACACTGTTAAAACAGATAAAATATTTTTTTCAGTGTAACATTACTTACGTTTAATATCTATATATGTATTATACCTTTGATCAAATATTGATGTGTATTAACAAATAATATCATAAACATAATATAAAGGGTGTGTTCAAGTAGTCTATACCAAGGTTAAAATATTTAGAGTTTTTTTTAAATTAAAGAAATAATAATGATTAATTATTTTAGAGTTTAATACATCAATGGGTTCCATTTCTTTATTTGTGTACTTTGTTGATTCAATGCTGCTTTTTCATTCACAAAATATCCTATTTTTTGGACACTCTTCAACATCGTCGTGAAAATATTTTTTCTGCGATCGTGCAAAAGTAGCTATTTTTTACACTATCTATGTATTAAAAGTCAAATTTTTTACACTAGTGCCATTGTTTTTCGGTAGTATGGTATTTTTTGGTATACAGCTGTCATCAAATCACAATATGAAAAGTATGCACCGAAGTATAGGCAATTTATTTCTGATTATTCTTCTGATATTCTACTAACACCTAATAGTTTATTATTATGAATAATAATTTCAGTCATGTTTCTAAATTTGCTTGTTATAAAATTTAAATTTAATAATATGAAAAAAGTTATATTATTTTTTTAAACTTTAATGATACACAAATACAAAATACTCTTGAATAACATTTATTTTCTTTATCATTAACAAAACGTTCATATAGTCTAAACAGAATAATAATAGTAATAAATAAAAAGGAAAATTATATAGTTAAATAAATAAGACACTGTTAAAACAGATAAAAAATTTTTTTCAGTGTAACATTACTTACGTTTAATATCTATATATTATACCTTTGATCAAATATTGATGTGTATTAACAAATAATATCATAAACATAATATAAAGGGTGTGTTCAAGTAGTCTATACCAAGGTTAAAATATTTAGAGTTTTTTTTTAAATTAAAGAAATAATATGTTTATTTCAAAAATAATGATTAATTATTTTAGAGTTTAATACATCAATGGGTTCCATTTTTTTATTTGTGGACTTTGTTGATTCAATGCTGCTTTTTCATTCACAAAATATCCTATTTTCTGGACACTCTTCAACATCGTCGTGAAAATATTTTTTCTGCGATCGTGCAAAAGTAGCTATTTTTTACACTATCTATGTATTAAAAGTCAAATTTTTTACACTAGTGCAAAAAATAACCTATTTTTTGTGATTTTGTGCAAAAAACACCTTGACATTAATAACAAGTTTAACTAAGGAGAAAAAATTTGTAAATTTTTGTAAAAATAAAATCACTACTGGACACCTCGCAGCAACATTCTGGAAAAGAGTTTTAAGTGAAGAATAAGAACCCGAGACCTCCACTGGAAATGAAGTTTGTCATCAATTACCTTAATGAATTTTTCAAACTGCGACATATAGTGTCATTGTGAGTGGTAATATTATTCCGTAAATTACTGTAATTTTTTTTTAATAAACATTTGAATAAGAATTCCAATTCGATGGTAGAAAAAATGTTGTGTGCAACATGTGCAAAAGACATATTATTTTGTTGCACTCAGCATGATTGCAGCTCTCGACTTCGTCTCGAGCTGCAAAATTCATGCGTCGAATTTTTGGAATCAAAATAAGTTCATTGGACACACTTTACCTCTATACAAAAATGCTTTGTTTGTCCGTTAGAGGGTATCAAACATTAAAACATTTTTTCAGATATTTTAAGAACCGTTAACCCGATTTGATTGAGATTTTGGGTGTGTATGTTTTAAAACATTAAATCACCACAATACACCAAAACACTTTTACTTTTACACAGGGCGCGCGTTTCGCTAACCATGTTAGCATCATCAGCAGATGATTAAAAACTAAACTATAATCTACAATTTGAGCGTTTATATACTCGCTCAGTGGGCACCGAGTGGGCGTGGCAAGATCTAGCCAACCGAGTCAGAGCCCACCGAGCGTAACAGTTAGATTTCCGCCACTAGAGTAGTAGGAACAAAGAACTTGAAGGAATTGGACCGTTGTCTTTCACAAAAATCAAGGAAAAGTACGAAAAGGGTGAAAACTACCCCCACCCCTACATAAATGTTATTATAAATATTTTCCAACTCAACCGACAACTGATTTTTTTTGTAAAATGGTCCTTATAGTATTTACTACATTTTTTATCTCTTGCCAAAAAAAAACGCCACAGTGCATACTTTTTGAGGAAAAAAATATTTTTCCGAAGGTGACTTTCAAAAAATGTTTTTTGCTATAGAGGCGAATAAAATCTATTAATGATCTAATAATCTAGTTAGCGAAGACATGTAATTTAATGTTAGTACCACAAATTATATTTGACAATAAGCTTAAGAAAATTAATAAATTTTAAATTAATTAACCTTCTAGTATATTTTTTGTGATGTCCTCTAACGGACAAACGAAGCACTTTTATATAGAGGTAAATTGTGTCCAATGAACTTTTTTGATTCAAAAAATACTCACTTGTTCTATGTCCACGGAATAGTGCAACTCGCTGTATATTTTGTAGGTTTGCTTTGGAAAAATAAATTCTCCAAAAATTTTTTCCTGAAAAAGTGTGCGATGTGGCTTTTTTACAAGAGACAAACAATTTAGTAAATACTAGAGAGACCATTTCAGAAAAATAAATCGGTCGTCGGTTCAGTTGGAAAATATTTATAGTAAAATTTATGTAGGAGTGGTAGTAGTTTTCACTCTTCCCGTATTTTTCTTGATTTTTGTAAAAGTCAAATGTTAAAGCACTTAGCAAAACATAGGCACCCCATATCTCATTCAAATCGGACTAAAGGTTCCTGAAATATCTTAAAAAATGTGTTTACTTTTTTAAAGTTTGATGCCCTCTAGCGGACAAACAAAACACTTTTATATAGAGGTAAATTGCGTCCAATGAACTTATTTTGATTCCAAAAATACGCAATAGTTCCATGCCCACGGAATATTGGGACACCCTGTACATTTAAATTAAAATTCATTTATTTGCGTTTTAACTTAAACAACACCCTCTATTACGATAATTCATCCAAGAGCTCTTCGCAAATATTATTTCTATAATAATATTGAGAAAGAAAAATATTTTTAAATTAAAGTTATATTACCTTGGTGAATTATCACGTTTAATTTCTTTAAAAAATCTAACAGTGCAAGTCTGACCACCAGAAACAAAAATAGTTTCTACGTCCCACTAGTCAACTGGCATACCCACCAATGTTGCCGTTTGCTGTCGCCTTATTTTATAAACGGTTTTAAGAACGGCGGAAAGGGAAGGTTGATTCTCACTATACCTTCCATATCAGCTCCCTTCCGTTTCCCTTCCGTTTACATAAAATATTATATCATGTAAATGAATAGGACAATGTACACTATCCGTTCCGTTTCCCTTCCGTTCCATATCCTTCCCTTCCATACATTTTTTTGGCGGACGGACTGAAGCGTATCGGAAACAGTGTTGTCAGGTTCTTACATTTGTACCAGCTCTGTTAAAATTTTGGTTAATTTTACCTTTTTCAAAAGATACAAATTTTTAAAATAAAACTTTCGTAATGACATAAATTGTACAATAAAAAGTATGGAACTGATACGGAACGGAAGCTTACGTATATTGTCAATACAATAAAAAATACGGAACGGGTATGGAATGGAAACGGAAGGTATAGTGAGAATCAACCCTAAAGCCTAGCTATAGCCAATTTCGCAAGCAGCTGTGGATTCATTGGTGAGGCCGTGGCTTCAGGATCGAGAGGTCCCAGGTTCGTGTCCCACAAGTATACAACTTTTTTATTTTTTTAGAGCTGTTTTTATTTTTTAAAAATACCTGTAAATATGTAATAGAAATAAAACACGCCGTACGCGTGATTTGATTGCTTTGTTTTGTATCAGGGGTAAGTTTTTTTTGTTTAGAATGCACGTGAAATACCCGATCGATTATCGTTCATATGCGGGCAGAACTGCGAAATTAAGGGACAGCAAACGGCAACATTGTTGGGTATGCAAGTTGACTAGTGGGACGTAAAAGCTAGTAGTAACAAATAACCTTCAAAGTTTAATGAAATAAATTTAAAATTATTTACATAATTTCTAAAAAAAATAAATTGAGTTCGTCACTTGGATGAACTACCCTGTACATGTCTGTGTAAATACATCTATAGTTAACGAAAACATTGCTTCTTAAATCCCTACTATCACCTAGAACCTAGATTGTGATTTCTTTTCAAATAAAAGTTCTATATTACATTATTATACATAAAACTATGTAAGTACCAAATGTTAAAAATTAAAAACGAATTAGTAACTTTCAAAAGAATCACGACCTTTGGCTCTAAAATACATTATAATGTTTTTTTGCAAGCACTTTAAACCTAAAGTAATGTCGAATGGAATGACTACATAACAAGTTCGATAAACTTTAACTATTAAACATATTCTGTTGGGACTTATCATTTTCAAAGTCACTCCAAGCATTGTTAAGTTCCATGAATATGAGTTTTGCGAGATTTTCATTTTCGGTTCCGACTTGCTGTAACAAAATTATAATTTAAATCAGTGATTATATCGTCGGTGAAATGTGATAAACTGATAACTCCATTATTCCTAATTTTAGAGGAGAGAAAAGAAACCGTACAAAAAAATATGTACACATGTAACAAGTATATTCATGCGTTAATATGATAAAAGGATACCAATAATATTTGTTGGGGAACAATCAAACTCAACATTTCGTTAAAAGAATTACGTAAAAACGATGTATTAAACGTATTATTTACTTAAAATCAAAAATGGAGTTAGCAGGTTATCACGTTTCACTGATGATATTTTCTATAGTAACAGAATTCATTTAAAATTTTGGCTATTCTTATTGTACTTTTTCGTTCTACGGGGATTCAAAAAACTGGGTTACAATACAATATAAGTACAATAATGGAATAATTCTCAAAAATCGAAATGTCTTCTGTGTCCTACCCACACAGAATTTAAACAATTAGACCATTAAACATTTATCAAAAATTGAAATGTCTTACATGTACTCAGAAATAAAAAAAAAATACCTCCCCGATAGTAAATGTAAATTATATAGAGACACACAGGGGTACTATCCTGAACCACAACCTGAACTAACAGAATTGTATGAGAGAGTGTTAACTGAGATAAATTAAGAAAAAATAAATAAAAATAATAGATATCACAGAAACTAAAAGAGCAAATCAACAAAAAATATCACATAAACATATTTGAAATTAATAAAATCGGAACGCGCTCGATTATTTCGGAACGTACTTGAAATTTTCTAAATAAAATGAACTGATCTCCGATACATCCCCACATAAAACGAATATTAGATAAATAACTACAACGTAACGTTAAACGATTGTTGTAAGACTATACTAAGGCCCGACAAAGGTTAGTTTTGGGACGAAATATCCGTATGTAAGAAGAGTACACTGCGTTTATAATGTTCTGAACAAAGAGAGAACGTCGCCAAACGTATCAAATAAACCGAGAAACTGTGCACATTGCTAAGAGACGTGGAAGGGGATAAATTTCTTTCATTTTTTTTTGATTCGTTGCGGTCGACCGATCGACCCAATACCCAATCAGTACTTAAAGTTCTAGGGATGGGTGTACATCACGCGTTCAGCTTCACGATTTAATTACGGCTAGCGATACTTTGTCTACTTGTTTACTTATAGTTGAGTCGTTGTAATTTTCCCTATAGCTTGTAAATTTTTAACTGCCAGTTAGAAACACTTGCTCTTTTGGTACAACTAAGTGGAATTGAGTTGGTGTTTGACAGTGGTCGCGCTATTAGAACTCTGAATTCAAAAATCGATATCTCGAAATCCATTAGACATTATTAATTGTAGTTTTCTTCAAAAACTTTCGCAATATTTCTGCTTATTTTCTTCGCAGACAGTATGTGAAAATCTTTATAAATAAAAAAGTTAGACGATTGCTAAAAATTGCTATGCACTAAAAGTATTTTTTAAAATTTTAAATGAAAAAAAAACAAGCTATCGAATTTTTCTTATTTAAACATCGTTCTTGAGTTATCGCGTGTTATCTGTTAAAAAGTTGAGTTTTCAAATTATGGCGATTACTGACGTTTTCTCGTTATAAAAAAATGGACACCCTAACGATATTCCATTTCATATTTAATTCCATTTCAGATGCTTAGAAATATATCTAATTATTTTATCTAGTTATATATACATATATTGCGGATATTTACGATATTCTTCGTCTCCCGCTTCTCAACTTCCACAGATTTCTGTCTGTCCAGCCTTCTTCCTGAAGGCCCCTTGAATTCATAGCTTCTATTCTGTTTTTTATCTAGTTACGTTTTAAAAAAAAAATCTTTTAAAAATAAGCGGTTTACGATCGTGATTTTACTTGATAGGGAAAGGCGTACCGGCGAAATGTGGCAACGCCGCAACAGTACACCGTCACATTTCTCTCACCCCGACTTAATAAGATCAGCGATCAAAATCGGCTTAATCATAGAACGTGTTGTAAAGTAAAGTAAAGTAAAGTTTATTTATCAAAAAAAAGTAAGTAAAAAAATAAAACTAAAGTTCCTGAAAAATAAGAAAATAAAAATAAATAAAGCTATTCCTTAGTTATACATTTTCTAATTTGATAAATAAACTAAGTTGCTCACCAAAGAAATAAATCTTGTCGGTGAGAAAACTATTTCCATTTAGCAATGAAGAAAATAAACAAGTATACAAACAGATAAGGGGGATAAAGAAATGACAAAGTTAATTTTTTTTTCTAGATCAGGATTTTTGTGTTAAAATAAGATTTTTTATTTCTAGCCAGGAATAAAGTCATGTTCGGGAATAGGATCTGAATTGGGTTATAATTATTTCTGTTTTATTCACTTAATTATAAGACTTTTTAAATTGCTTTTTTTACTTAAATAATTTATTTTTAGAAAAAAGTGTAGATATTAATTATCCATACTTTTTATTCGTAAGGGCATTGATTTTCTTTCTTCCCTGATTTAGTAGCCATATTTTTAATCTTGATTTGAATAGATTAATAGAATTTAGAGTTTTTATACTAGGTGGTAGCTCATTGTGTAAGTTTGAACTAATATATGTAAAATATCTTTGTGCTAATGAGGTATTGATCTTCGGGAGAGTACCTGTTAGAGTTTTTTGTCTGGTGTAATGCTCATGTTGGATGGATTCAAGGGTGTCTTTTTTCTTGTATTGCCTTAGGGCTATACTTTGCACGTATAGTTGTCTTATGTCAAAAATTTTGGATTCTTCAAACAATAAATCAGTTGGATATAATCGGTTTTTGTTATATATAACTTTTAGTATCCATTTTTGAATATTCTCTAATACTTTAACATGAACATCAAGTACACCACCCCAAACTATTATGCCATATGTTAAATGTGGCTGCACAAGCGCTAGATAAAGTGTCTTTAAATAGGGAATGTCAAAATAATATTTTAATTCTTTGAAATATAGTTGGTATGCTCATTCCACTTTAGATGAGAGTCTAACATGACGCCTAAGTACTTTATTTTAGACTTGGATTTTATTGAGATAGTAGTAGTTGCGTTTATTTGAATGAAGATTTCATTATACTCTGGAAGGGAGTCGCGGTAACACCCATAGGGCATGAAATAAGTTTTCTCAAAGTTAATGGTAAGGATATGGTTACTGTACCATTGAAAAATTTTTTGAAGATCAATTTCGACAATTCTTTTAAGTGTTTTCCAACTTTTTCCTCTGTAGATTATTGCAGAATCATCAGCAAAATATAATAGTTCCCCAGAAGAGACGATGTTGAACACATTATTTATATAAAGTATAAACAATATCGGGCCCAAAACGGTTCCCTGTGGAACCCCGTATTCAACCTCAGTCTCTGCACTTGTAGTTTCACCAATTTTTACGCTTTGGTTGTGAGGTCACATAAATAACTTTTAAACAGTTTGAGAGATGTGCCTCGTATACCAGAATTCTCAAGGATTTCTATTAATTTTCCATGATCCACCGTGTCGAATGCCTTGGCCTGGTTGATAGTAAAATATTTCTTTTCTCAAATTTAATATTTTTATGAGCAATCTTTAGTAAATACAAAAATATTATGTTACCTTATCAGGGTGAACTGCAAGACACGCTTTCCTGTACGCTTTCTTCACATCGGTACTCGAGACTAGTTGATGCATTTCACATTTATTCCATTTAGTGCCATCCCATAGAATAGTATGCATTGAGCACAACAAAGCTCTAATATTGTTCTTTTTTCCTTCTTTCTGTCAACACACATCACTATATAGATTTGAAACCCAGAATATATTGTATATTTACCCATTCCATAACTTTTAATTTTTCGGGATCCATATAAACAGCCATTTCTTCTTTTCTCATTGCATTTATCGTTCTAGGCATGTTATCTTTCTTAGCTGTAAAGGAATAACCTTGCGAACCTAGCAGATCGCCAAAAATGTCGTCACTTTTTGGTTTTACATTGGGATCTTCTTTATTGGAATTTGATTTGCTGCTCAACGGTTCAAAATGTACCCTAAAAATATATTTATTGTATCAATAACCAAAAACTTTGCAACAAATAGATTAATAGATTTTTTTATTACTGAGCAGTCAGAAATAAGTTTACGCGAAATCAATTCAGCCCAATAGGAAAACAAATGTTTTGAAATATGTCATTTGAAAGTGGGATTAGGGAATACCCCCATATTAGTTGTTATATATGAGATAGACAGTGTCGACAAGGTCTGGCTTTGGGTACCCATTTTCGTGTGTACGAAGAGTTTCCATTCAAAAAGCTCAGTACAATGAGATGTATTGAACAAAGAAAAAAAGCAAGTATTTTCCCAGGCGCCTAAAATCGCATCAGATTAAATGGTTATACAAGGTGAGTCTTAAATAAGTGCAAATATTTTCAGGGCTGGTAGATCTCGACAAAAGAAACATATTTCCTCTTTACCGTTTTTCACATAAATCTAAAATAAACGAGATATTTTACTGAAAATTTCCAAAAAAATAATTTTTTGCTAAAATTTTGAGAACCACTGGTTTTCAAAAAATTCCAAATTTTCAAAAAAAAAATTTCGCGAAAAAGAACTCATAATTGTGTTTCTGGGGTCGAAATATACTACCCCTAAAATATTTGCACTTATTTAAAATTCACCCTGTATAACACTTATCACTTTTCTCTCTCCTAATTAGAAGAGTGCCATAGCGATTCACTTCTGGAAATCTAAATACCGACCCAAAATTGTCTCTTGCCGATATGGTAAAGGCGCATATTTATGACCCTACAAAACTGAAATTCTTTCCCCATTTAACCGACTCTCTGTCTCCAGTAGTTTCCTATATATCAATAAAGAACATCATAGAAAACATATGCGCCTTTCGGATTTTTGAAAAAGTTCTTTTTTAAAAATTGTCCCTAATTTCATTATAATCTATTTTAGACAAACAGTTTTCAGATAAAAGTTGTAGATAATAACATCCTTAATGAAACTGTGTTCTCCGTTTTTTTCTAAAGCCATCATTTTTGACATATGATACACAAACATATTGTTGCGAAACCAGTCCCGCTTTAATATGACCTAGAAGAGCCTAGAAATTCGAGAACACAGTGGCTAAGAATTTCCACCACCGCCCAGAGCATTCTCCGTCGCACGCGTATATATATATATATATATACCGAGGCCGGTGCGCAAGGGACAGACGATAATAAACTACAGTGTGCTATGGTCGCGGCTACTTGCTTTTGCTCTAAATAAATACGGAAATACGGTAGATAAATAAGTTTGTAAATATAGTTATAAATAGTTCTTTAAGTAGTTTTAGCGTTGTTGTTTGTTACTTAGTGTAAAATAAATTGTGTTTAAATAAATTAGACTTTCTATCCACACGGAACCGATGAAAAACGTAACAATATTATGTTTTTTTTTTAAAGGAAACCATTGTTGGCCATGGCATGGGCCTCCTCGATCACCTGACCTATCCATTTTAGATTTTTTTAAGCGGTTTGGTTAACAACAAGGTTTACAAAAGAAGAATTAAGAGAGGCACTCGAAGAGGCAGTACAGGAGAAGTTTAACAAAGTCCAACCAGTCGTTCTGTGAGAAAAGCTAGTAGGTAATTTACTTTTAAAAAGAGGCATTTATGTACTCAAAACAATGGCGGATTTTTAAACATTTTTTAAAATAATTCAAAGTGTATGTAGTGATATTATTTTTTTATTTAAACAGCCGAAGTTTTTTTTTCGAAATATCTAGTAAGACATGAACTTTTTCAAAAATATGAAAAGCGCGTATTTATGACCCTACAAAACTGCAATTCTTTCCCCATTTAACCGACCCTCTATCTCCAGTAGTTGCCGAGATACCCATAGAGAACATCGTAGAAAACTCACCCTGCATAATAAATTACCTGTTATAATCTGGAGCTCCAGTTGACTTGTTATGATGTTGCGGTGTTGTGGAAGCTGACTGATTATAAGGAGTATTGGGAGCCTCATTTGGAGTTCTATTACCACTACCCGACGCAAGAGATGTTTGAGAAGTAACATTATGTAAACTGGATGTAGCGTCAGTCAAATTTCCTAAATAAATTAAAATATTTTGTATAAATTTGAATATAAACATAACGGACTTACCAAAATCGGCAAAGAAATCGTCATTCTGTCGCAAATTATCTTGTGAAACTGACGTTCCAGTTGTTTGTTTATTATTATTTGATGATTGCGGACTAGCACTTGAAAATCCATTCCAATTACCTAAAAGGTTTGTGCTATCTTGGGCAGCTCCTAAAGACCCAAAAGGATCAAACGTCTCACTTTTGGTACTAGATTTAGTAGGCTTGTTATTGTTATTCGATTGATTCGTGTTGAATGTTGAAAAATCATTTAATCGGCTATCATCTAAAACACATCCTTTAAGAAAAAAATATCATAAAAAAACATTACAACATGCCTAAACCGCTAAGGAGATCAAAATTCGAACTTGCTGAGTGTTTAATAACATTCTCTGTTGTAGAAGGTTTAGTATTTAAGTTAAGTAAGTCTACTTCTTCCTCAATTATTTTGATGTTTGATTCCGTCTCAATGATATCTATGTCATATTTTAGATTCTCTTTTTGCGGGACGTCTTTAACTTCTGGATGACTAGGTGAAGAAGCAAAACCAGGTTCTGCTATGGGTCTCTCAGGTCTAGGAGGACGTTGGACAGGTTTTCTGCTTGGTTTGCTTTTAAAATTATCTATCGTTTCATCTTTCTCTATTTGTGAAGTAAATAAAGTATCCATACTACGATCGGTTTGATCGGTCTGCCATGGCGCTGGCTGAGAGGGTCTTTTTTCAGTATCAGTCACAAAAATATTTAAGGTTATTGTAAAGCTTTGTTGAAAATGATCTTGGCCATCGGACAACTCGTCCAGGTCTGATTTTGAAAACCTGATTGACGTTTCTTCCTCTGGTATGTAGCCCGTATGAAATTGAATTTGGCAAATTTTGATTCCGGTTGCTTTACCTTGAGTCATAACTCCGCCAAAAACATTTCTAGCATGGTAAATAATAATACATACATCTCCGCAAACAGTGGTACTAATAGGAAGCAAACATTTTCCATCTGATATATTAAAAAGTCTCATTCTCTCGTAATCTTGAAGTGTAGACAACATACAACGATTTTCACTATAAATCTCTATGTACGGTCTACAACCATCTCTTACTTTAGTAAATAAAGGAACAGGTTGCATTTGAAGAGAAACTAATGTTACTGGATTATAATGAGGATACAAAGGCGGGTTTCTAACTATATCTGCTAGATAATAAAGATATCTACAAAATTATATTATACAAACCAAATAATGAATTGAATAAGTATTTAATTTTACCTCAGTTCTGAAGGCCTCATATCTGGGGGACATCTTTTGACAGCAAACATTTGTAAAGCGTCCTCTGGCACTTCATATAATCCAGCATAAATCATTAAAGCGCATACCAGAGTCGCTGAAACAGCCTTACCATCTGTACACTGTATTACTACCACGTTTCTACTGTCCCCTGAGAATAAATGCACTTATATTTATTAGATTACATAACAATTTACAATTAATATGTTTTATATAATTTTGTACAAGAGACAAAAAATGTAGTAAATACTAGAAGGGCCATTGTACGAAAAAAAATCATTCGTCGGAGGAGTTCTTAAGAGGTTCTCGGAGAATAATATTATTTCTACTAAAATTTATGTAGAGGTTTTCTTGATTTTTGTAAAAATGATATGTTAAAGGGCTTAGCAAAATATTAGATTATTTTTTTTTGAGTTCTATGTCTACGGAATATTGAGACACCCTGTATACCACACAATAAAAAGAACAACGCCAAAGATGGCTTGGAAATGAAGATTGCTGTCACTTTGTATGTAAAATAACAATTGTCACAGAATATAATATGATCGTTAGGTAAATATTTGACTAACCAAATGAACTACCATCAGTTATTTTTGCTCCTGTCACGAGAATCTGCTGCTATTGGATGAAAATTACAAATTTTTATTTTTCATTTATATAACTGAAAATCGGTACACTTATATAAAATTAAAAAAGAAACAACTCATAGAGTTTTACGCAATTCTGCCAGCAAACCCATTTTTAGCCATTTGTTACATTATTAACGCTAATTAAACGATTTTTTTATTTTTCATTTATATAGCTGAAAATCGGTACACTATATAAAATTAAAAAAGAAACAACTCATAAAGTTTTACGCAATTCTGTCAGCAAACTCATTTTTTAGCCAATTGTTACATTATTAACGCTAATTAAACCAATAGGAATTGGTTACAGTTCGTACATATTTCTGGGTTAATTTTATTTGGATATTAAAATGTCTGAAAATTGGATAATCGTTATAACTCTTTTTTAATAACTTTTTAAGATTTTTGTACCCCCATATTATTCTTAGCAGAAATACACAAAATTCGCATACATGAAAAATAAGATTGCTCAATCAAGACTTTTCAATAAAACTGTAAAAAATGGAAATCAGTAAAATGTAAAAAATGCAGCAGAATAATCTTCTCACCAACAGCTATTTCATTGAAGTATTTGAAGAATATGTATGAAAAAGTGTAGTTTGAAATGTTGAAAAAGTAATAAATTAATAAAAATTGACCCACCACTTGTGACAATCAACGCACTGAAAGAAGCTATAGGAACTGCCATCAAGGCTAAGCAGCAAGAGACGTGGTAACACCGTGAGGACTGCGCCACAACTCGAAGACTATGGCTACTGGTAGATAACAAAAGACAAAACAACTACTAGAACACAAAAAGAACCTAGTAGGCATAATTGTAAGTGTCGTCAGTGACGAAACTGTCCCACAGGTGTAAACCTCGTGAGTTGAAAAATTTCCAACGACGACTACTGCAGAGAATGTGGAGAGGAAGAAGAAACCATAGAGCACCTGCTGTGCCACTGTCCGGCACTGTAATACCGACGCGACGCTTTAAAACTTTAGGGTAAGGTTTTTTGGAGAGACTAGAGGAAGCAACAGCAGCCAACATCAGCGACATTGGGAACTTTGCAAAGAGCTGGAAGTGCTTTAACGCAAAGAAAGAATGAGAGGAAGGTTTGGTACAACAATACAGGGGTATCGCAATGAGTCCAAATCCTCCGAGTGAGGGATCAAACATGATCCCAAACCCATGCTAATAAATTAAATAAAAAAAATTACGCCTAAAAAATAGTTCTTTACCTATAAGAAATAGTTTTTTATGTGTAACAAATAGTTCGCTAACTGTTTTTTAATAGGAAAAAACCTACCTGCTATATATTGGTAAATATCTTCGCAAAGCTGATATACGGAATTAAGTAGTGGCGCCTTAAAATGTTCGGGATAAGCAAATGAACAATCTACAATTCTAGCCTGCCCAAACCTTGACTGAGATTGCTTGTTGGCTAGGTTATACACAGAGTATCTAAAAAATGCAATGTAATTAATTTCAAACTTACATTTTCATTTTTCTATCACCTGTAGTTAGGATGCCTCGAGTCTAAGAAGAGCCTCACATCTTCTATATGATTAGTTTTGTAAGCCGATTCTAACCCCTCAGAGGGGCATGGCATCACAATGATTCTTGAAGTTATATAATGTATGTCTAGATCTGTTCTTCCCATAGTCCTTAAAAAGATATTTATTTTATTTAAGTAAGACAACACATAAAATATATCCAAGAATGGTAAACTAATAGGATTGCTCATGCTCATCCTAATAAGACGTACGTTCGCCTCTTCCCGCTCTTCAGCTGACAGTTGTGACGTCAGCCGTAGTCCTCGACGGATTGTTTACTATTAAGGCTGTGTATACGTTTGTGTAATTTTTGTCGATTTTAATTGTGAAAAAGGTGTTTTTAAAGTTTTTCAGAGCTATAGAGTGTATTTGTATTGTTTATTAATTATTTTAAAGCAAAATATGGAAGCAGTCTAAACGAATTCCCGCAAAAGGTGATGCTAGCGGAAACTGAAAAAAATGTTAAAAATATCAAATTGAATAGTTCCATATTACATATTATATTTTTTATGTAAATAAAACCCCTTATCATTCTTTTCTCGTACTATTATGGATAGTTAAAAATGTTGATAATGTAGGATCATCAAATCATATGAGAATTGATATTGTATTCCTTAGTGGAATTTGTAGTATTTGTTATAAGGAATATAGTTACCATGTATGTACCATGTATTACTAGACCCAATGTTGCTTAATTTAATTTAATTCTAATGTAATTTATTTTAATTTAATGCCAGAAGCACATACATAGATGTTCGGTTGGTTCGTTTGATCAATTATTGTGATAATTGGAGTAAGATTTGAAATAACTTATAGGCAGCTTAACAGGCAGTAACATTGTTAGAAATAAGTAAAAAAATTGCATATGTGGTTACGTAATAATTTTTTATGCCTTTTTGGTACCCCTTTAGTGCCAATTTATGCACATTTGCAAACGTTTAATGTTCAATTTTAGTAAAAATATAAAGCAAAACACTCATTAAACACATTATAGGTTGCAGTATAGAAAATTAACTATAAATCGTATTAAATACTCGGATAATGTATTTTTAAGAACAGCAGTTCCTGCACCTCCTTTTGCAGGTATCTTTTTTAGAGCGCTTCCATATTTTGCTTTAAAATAATTAATAAACAATATCGTAGGCACTTAGTCATAATCCACAACACAAAATGAAAGTATTTATACACTCCATAGCTCAGAAAAACTTTCAAAACACCCTTTTCACGATTAAAATCGACAAAATAATTAACTCATACGTATGAATGGTAAACAATCCGTCGAGCGCTACAACTGACGTTACAACGCGAGGAGTTTTCGCATGCACATGACAGACACCTTCGGCTGAATGAGCAGTCCTATTATGTTAATTGTTCTTGAAGTATATCCAACGAGTCAGGGAAGATTATGACAGATGACATTCAAAAAATGACAGAAAATACAATTTGCTTCTGAATCGAAATTGAATTTTGACACAACTGTCATTGTCAGGGATCCTCCCGTTGGACAGCCTATATTATCACTTACTGCTGCACTGTGGCCATTACTTTTGAACTTGTATCTTTGAGATTTTTTAAAAAACTACCGGCGCCACCCTTAAGAGAAGAAAATAAACCGGCTTGCTTAGGCTCTTGTTGACGTGAAGAAGTTTGAGGTTGTGCAGAAGAACTTTTCTGATTATGTACTATATTATTCTGATTACTCTGAAAAATGATTAGTATTAGATACGAAGTTGGTCAATCTAAATCAGTGGTCTATATTGTAATGTGTCGAGCCCCGTTTACATACATAACGTTTAAACTTGCCAGTCTTAGCTTTTTTTGTTGGAGAAGGGAAGGCGATTTACAGCCGAGGTGTGGGGTTCGATGCGACAATACGATACCCGTAGTTGGCATTGGCCACCGCATAAAGCTTGATTTTCATGCATCCGTTGTCCGACGATACGATGATACGATATTAATTTTATTTTTTATTTTATTGGTTGAATTTAAAGACTTCAATTGGTTAGAAACGGTTAATCAATCGAAGCCTTTAAATTCAACCAATAAAATTAATATCGTATCATCATCGTATCGTCGGACAACAGATACATGAAAATCAAGCTTAATACCCACTAAACCCCTCTCCTATTCTATGTGTGGACGTCCAATCGCCGTGTGGCATACGGATGCATCCACTCCTACCTATACTTATCGCTCCATAGACATTTACAGATCTACCACGTCTTGAGGCAACCACTTCGTCCACTTCAGTAAGGATATCGAGACACAACGGGTCCTGCCAGAGGCCCTGTGATGGCTTCCGTCATTTGTAAGTGCCGCATGTCAAGTAGTATGTGCCCAGCATCCTCCACATAGCTACAAGCTCCGCAGCGGGGAGAGGAAAACACAGGCTACAGGCAGCAAACGTACCAAGTCCACTCAGAAACTGTACCAAGCAGTACGTCAGTTTCCCGTGTACTACGGTACTAGAACTGGACTAAATAACTGTTGATTTATTAATGGCCAAAACTTTGCCGCAATACTTTTCGAAATACTTTCTTAGTTGATTTGTTTTTTTTTGTGGAAAATCCGGCAATAATGCATATAAGAAAAGTATCAGCCCAGTTTTTGTCTCTTTTTAATATGTTTGAATTTCCATTAGGGTATCTCCATCATGATCTTATATGTTGAAATCCAGACACACCGATTTAGGATGACAAGGTGTATACAGTGTAACAGATAAAGTCTGCATTATATAGGGTAATATATTTTATATCCCAATTTAAATGAAAGTTGACTTAGTAAAATTGGCTTATTGTTAGTTTCTGCTTTGAATTAGACTTTATTTATATTATTAAAAACGGTATAATAAAAGATATCCTCATTTACTTCAGCACTTCTGTATCTGTCAGATTTGACACTTAAAAAAAATAATTGCAAAAAACGGGGTTATTGCATTTGAAATAGAATTTATTCGAAGTTTTTATGCAAAATAAATATGTAAAATAGACCAGCAATTTTTGATACCCCTGTATACATTTAAGGAAGCAATCAAATTTCTCAGTAAAGTTTATTACTCGGCATTAAAAGTCAGCACAAGAATTAATTCTGAAAAGTAATGTACAGGGTGTTGACAGTCTTTTTTATGAGAGTATGCATAATGCATATTTAATTAAAATAACTTTGTTGCACATCATAATACGACCACCAGCAAACTCCATAAGACAACGCATGGTGTCATTGATGACGTGCATCAAAGTTGTTTCAATTTCCCTTATCTCAAAAACTGAAGCTTGTAAAAATATTTAACCCATATAATAAATTCTTTATATTATACAGGGTGTCCCAGAAATAAGTGCAAGTATTTTAAGGGGTGGTAGATCTTGATAAAAGAAACATATTTTCCCTTTATGATTTTTCAAATAAGTCCAAAATAATGGAGTTATTTTACTTTGAAAATTTCCAAAAAAAAATATTTTTTACTCAAATTTTGAGAACCACTGGATCTTTTCTGGAGTTTCTTTCTTGTAAATTTAATATACTACCTATGTAGTCATATTATCAACAAATTATGTTCTATTCAGAGTAAAAATGATTTTTTGTGGCTCGCCCGTATGACAAACGTACGACGTACAGCCTCAACACAAAAAGTGTCATTTTTACTCTTAATAAAACAATACACTATTGTTTCTACATCTTTCCGTTTTTGTATAATTAACCGAGGCGAATGATGTGCCCCATCCGGTATAAAATTAAAAGACATATAATAGTTTTTCCAAATTCGGCCAAGAATCCAATTTTTTAATCATTTATTTTTTAAACGTTGTAAACACGTAAAAAATATTTGACGGGAATGGGCGGTTAAAATTTTTATGAGATTTTTAGTCCAATTCAAAAGCAAAAACGAACGCCAAGTCAAATTTCGCCTAAAGCAATAAATAAAAAATTCCCATATGATGAGAACTCTATTTGTGACACTGAATGTGTCCAATTGACAATTAAGCTTTATATTTACAGGTGGTGGTGGTCTTTCAGGCTTTGGAACATTGGAAATATGTTCTGAGATCGGTCTTTGAGTAGGTCTTGGTGGTGGAACTTTTTCTGTAGCTACAGAAGAATTATTAACTCCAACATTTTCTTTTCCCTATTTAAAAAAATAAAATAAAACATTGTAAATTTCATAATTATTAGTCTTTATTACCTGTTCATCCATTGTTGATGCTGTTTTAAAAGGTAATGAACCTTTCAAATCATATGAATTTGTTTCTGCAATAGCTGCTAATCTCTCTAAAATACCCGATATTGACAATCTTTGTTCAGGATTTGGTTGAAAACAACCCTCTAAAATGTAATTAATATTATATATTGCTACGTATACAGGGTGTTTCTGTGTTCTGAGGCAGCTCAATATCAAATGTCCTAATTAAGATTTTCGATCCAATATATTTTACATAATACGGAGGCAATGGAGAGCACATTTTAAAAATAGCATAAGATAGAAAAAACGTCAACAGAGTTGTCTCGGAAATGAATGTAATTTTATACAGGGTCGCTGTAGCGTATGGAAACGGTCGATTATTAGGTAAAATATAGGAGGTACTGCAAAAAGTTAAATACAAAAGTTATAGGTTTTTTAAATATCTATTAGCGAGTAATAAATTTAAGTATACAGGGTCGGTCATAAAGTTGTGGCACATAAAAGTTTCATTTTTATAAATAGAACCCCCTATATATTACTGCATATTTTAATTCTTCCTTCAATTCTAAGCAAAAATGGAAATACACACAAATGTACCTCAAACCAACCGTTTCCGAGTTATTGACTTTTGAAAATATCACTTAAACAATTTGATTGAATTAATTTCGATATGTTCAGTTTCATTTAACGATGCCATTCTGTCCTAAAACGTCAATATTTGAATAAAAATTGGTGTCTGGGACACCAATGAAAAATTGGATACGCCTTCTACTTGTAGAGGGCACCACCTACATATGTTTTAACTAGTTTGAAGACTAATAACTTTTCGTCCGTACCTGTATAAAACTACTGAATAAAAAAATACATATTTACGACGTTTTTTCTGTTAAAAAAATATCTCTTGGTAAAAATCGCTACGAGTAATGGTTCTCGAGATATTTTGAATCTAAATCATCAACACCTGTCATCATTGACATAAATTAAACATGTTGACATAGTTATCAGACTGAAATCATAAATTTGAAATGTCTTTGCGCCAAAATTTCAACAGAAACTGTTTTATCATCTTTTTTGAAGTAAAAATGATGACTAATTTAAAAAATAAAAAGTTCCCACATTTATCATTTTAGTCAAATAACTATCTGCTCAACATGTTTATTTTTTGTCAATAATGACATGTATTGACTATTTTCATTCTAAATATCTTGAGATTGGTTACTCGTAGCGATTTTTACCAAGAGACCTTTTTTTCCGTAAAAAAACTATACATGTATGTACGGACGAAAAGTTATACTACTCTTCAAAGCAGTTAAAAAATATGTAGATGGCGCCCTCTACAAATAGAAGTCATATTAACTTCAAAATCAAATTTTTCATGTTAAAAAACTCCCATATACCAATTATCATCCAAATATTGACGTTGTTTCAGAAATTATTTAGAAAAAATCGAAATAAAAATAAAACTTCTACACCCTGTATCTCCCAAACTAAGCATTTTAGGACATATATTTATACAATTTTTTTTCATATTTTTATCTGCAGAATTTGCTCCCAAAGTTACCGGAATACAGTTCAGACCACCCTGTATATTATGACATTATGGTATTGTTTGTATGGAAATTTTATAGCAAATTCAGTGAACAAATATATATCAAATATATTTGAATCACCTTGTACCGTCATTCATTTTAATTTGTCCCATTTTTAAAAGGCTGTAAAATATTTATTTTTCGAGTTAAAAGGTCGAGTAAAAAAAGAAATTGTAGTGTTTTTCGTTAAGTTTTATGCCGTTAAAAATTGTATAAACTGTCAAATGTCAAAATTATTGACATAACTTACTTTTTTTTAAATGGTACACCCTATATAATATTAAATATTTAAAGACTTTTTTTCTGATTATGAAAATATGCCACACTTGCCCTTTCTTTTCGTTAGTTTAGCGCAAATTCGTATAAATATGATTAAAATTATAATTTTACCCGCGTTTATTATTTTGCTTCCAAGAATTGTAATGGTTATAGTTCTATTATGATTTAGAAAATTTCCTGGTTTGTAAACTCAGAACATTTTAGTAAATGACTCAAATCTACAGGGTCCGGCAATAGTGCGTCGGGCATCTGTAGCTCCTAGAATAAAAAAACTTGAGAATTTTGTTTAACCCTTAACTGGTCCGGCGCGCGGCGTCGTCTGACAGACTACGCCAAATAATTAACTCATTCTTATTAATTTTTGGGACCGCCCACACGATTGGCGTTCCAGCTAATCCTTCCCCTCTCGGTCAATGACTGATAGCCATATTTATGCCCAAACTGGATTAGTTTTTTAGAAGTTCTGGCAGAAATAACTTAAGTCGTAGTCTCTCAGACGACGCCGGACCGTTTGTGTAAGATTTTGTGTGTGACAAAATTTTGTAAAATATAGCCGGGCCTTCGAAAAGAGTGCGTTTAGGAGACTCTAGTTAAGAAGAAACTCTTTTAAAATGATATTATGATGAAGATTGTGACAGTGACAGTATGACAATCTGCCAGACAAATGCGTTTGACAATGTCAAATATTCCACGAGAAATATGCTTTATAATTGGTAGAATACTTGCAATTCCTGTATAACCAGAACACGCCTACGGAGATATTCTTATCCTAGAGTTCTTATACTAGTTAAAGACAATGTTTTGTCTTAGTTAATTATTTTTAATGTCTATAATGTACGAATCCATTGTGTAAAACATGTTCAGGAAAACACAATGAACTTTGACACATACTGTAACTAAAACCTTTTTCTTTAACTCTAGTTTTATAACTTTTTTTTATATATTATAGTATTAAAAACTTATTTCTATATTGTAATGACTGTTAGGAATTTGGTTTTATTTTCTAAAGCTTAGTAAAAACCTATACGTTTTTTTTTTCAAATTTATATGTACGTTATTTTATTTTGTACTATATTTTCTTTAAAGTTTATATTAATTGAACCCATTTTTGTCTAGATTAGTTTAATAATACATAATATAATGTATAATGAAATAAAAATTTGTTATTTTTTAGTTTTTGTGTGTTTTTTTACTTTTTAGAAGGCGTAGTCCTACAGACTACGCCGGACCGTTTATGTTACATATCTATTACCGGACCAGTTAAGGGTTAAGTGCAGACCTAAAGTATGTACCAGGATGTATTTCCGGGAAATATTTCAACTTCTATAGGGTGGCTCAAAAAAGTGTGAGTGGATCTGGATGATTTTTTTTAAATGGAACACCCTGTATATTATTACATTTTTGGCTTTCTTTCAGATCATTTTACATAATCCTAAGATATGAGTAACTCTATTTCGATAGTTTTAGAGATATTAAAAAATAAATCAAAAATATATATTTTTCAACCATTCTTAAAAAAATATTAAAAATACAAGAACTGTTCTCAAATCAAAACTATATTAGATATTTACTTTAGATGATCTGTTCTTACTTTGATTATAAATATGGTAATCGTAAATCATACAGGATGTTCAATATTTTACGCCAAACTTTCAAAAATATAAAATACTTTTTCTTAATTTTTTTAAACGGAACACCCTGTATATTATTTTTTTATTCGGTGAAGAATTAAACAATGAACATTTTTTGTATTTAAAGTATTTCAAAATTTTTAATAGTTTTCCGGATACACGCAGTATTATTTCATATGGCGCTTTCAATGGTAAAATACGCGAGAAACATTATTGAGTGGCTTTGATAAAAATTTACTGTGGAAAATGCCATATGAAATACAAAACCGGGAATATCTGCGAAACCGTTAAAAATTATGAAATACTTTAAATGCAAAAAACGTTCATTTTTTAATTCTCCATCTATTGAAAAAACAATATACAGGGAGGGTGTTCCGTTTAAAAAAACAAAGGAAAATTATTTTATATTTCAGAAAGTTTGGCGTAGAATTTTGAACATCCTGTATGATTTACGATTGTCATATTTATAGCAAAGTAAGTACAGACAATCTAAAGTAAATATCTAATATAGTTTTGATTTCAGGACAGTTCTTTTATTATTAATAATTTTTTTAAGAAAGGCTGAAAAATATATAATTTTTATTTATTTATTAATATCTCAGAAATTATCGAAATATAATTACTCATGTCTTAAGATTATGTAAAGTGATCTGAAAGGAAGCCAAAAATGCAATAATATACAGGGTGTTCCATTTAAAAAATCATCCCGATCCACTCACACTTTTTTGAGCCACTCTATGGAAGTTCAAATATTTTCCTGAAATACATCCTAGTACATACTTTAGGTTTGCACTTAAACAAAATTCCGAAGTTTTTTATTCTAGGAGCGACAGATGCCGGACGCACTATTGCCGGACCCTGTAGAAGCAACAAATTTATTGAAAAATGAGATGGAAAATAAAGATGGAGATAAATCCAATTTACGAATAGCAAACAATTTGAAAAAATGAAAACTATGGTGGCAAGTGTGGCATATTTTCGTAATCAGAAAAAAAGTATTTTTAAATATTAAATGAGGGTGTACCATTTAAAAAAAAGTAAATTATGTTAATAATTTTGACATTTGACAGTTTATACAATTTTTGACTCAACGGCATAAAACTTAACGAAAAACTCTACAATTTCTTTTTTCACTCAACTTTTTAACTCAAAAAATAAATATTTTAGAGCCTTTTAAAAGTGGGACAAATTAAAATGAAAGCACTGTACAGGGTGGGTCAAATTGGACGCTTTTGAAGGGAAACACCCTTTTCTATAGGAGATAGGCAAAAACTAATATCGGTGTCCGGAGCTTAATTTTCATCAAAAACATAATGGTGAAACCGCACATGGATATCTGTTACTGTTTCGGAGTTACGGGGTGTTTATCAAAAATATGCATTTTTAAAAAATCGCTGTAACTTTTTTGCTATGGAAAATTTTGTATTTTTATGAATACATTTCCAAAGCACCTTTTTACGTAGAATTTAATGGTTTAAGTATATTTTTTTTAAATTAATAATTTAAGAATTATCAACAGAAAATTTGATTTTTTATATGGGACACCCTGTATATTTTTAATTTATTGAAAAGAATTTAAAATTGCCTTTCCAAAAATACAACACACTTGATATTTTGCTCGATTCCTCTTCGAGATATAGAGTATATAAAAATTCGCCCGCTTTAAATAAGTAGGCTTTGAACGACACCAGCTGTAATGCAAAAAAATTCTAGCTGTGAGCATCAATTAAAACGAAAAAAATATTTGCAATGAGAAATGCAGAATTTTATAACAATTTAAAATATATTTAACCAACATCAACACATTTAAACTATAATCTAATAACAATAAAAATAAATAGCAAACAAAGACATGAGATTTTGCTACAGGTATTCGACATATCGATCGTCTTCTGTTATGGACAGACGGGGCAGTTTCTGAACATTTCTCGCGGAATTCATTTAACTCAGTGCGGGTGAAACTGGGGTAAAAGATACCCTCTTATAACTGCTAAGTATTTCTAATTCTTGTCTAGATTATAGAGAAGAATAAGGAACCTTTATTCTTCCGCAAATATATCCATAGGATTAGATCCATGGGCACTAAGTCAGGCGGCCTCGACGGCCAACGGCCGGGATCTTGGTTAGCTATTCAATTATTCTTGAAATTGACTGCAAAAATATGCTGATAACTTCAGCGTTCAGAGGCGGTGCGTCGTCTTGCTGGAAAAATATGTTTTCGAGTTCCATTAAGGGCATATCATCAATAAGGGGTCCAAAGCCTACTATTTAAAAGTGGCGAACTTTTAAAAATTCTGTATTTCGAAGGGGATTATAACAAAATATCAAGTGTGCTATATTTTTGGAAAGGTAATTTTAAATTCTTTTCAGTTAATTAAAAATATAAAGGGTGTCCCAAATAAAAAATCAATTTTTCTGTTGATAACTCTTAAATTATTAATTTAAAAAATATACTTAAACACCCTGTAACTCCGAAACGGTAATAGATATTGATGTGCGGTTTTCACCATCATGTTTTTGATGAAAATTGAGCTCCAGACACCGATATTAGTTTTCGTCTATCTCCTATAGAAAAGGGTGTTTCCATTTAAAAGCGTCGAATTTGACCCACCCTGTACATATAATTAAAAAAAAAAAATTAAAAGTGTATGGTAAAAAGAGTGGAGTAAAAATATCAAATTAGAAACTGGATATGGAGCTTTTTCAAAACTTTCAGTCACTCTGTATTCTTTGATTAAATATAGCATACTAATAATATCATGAAAACACGCATATTTTGGATCAGGTGGCAGTACATAATTTGCATTAATTATTCGTAATTTTGCACTATCTTCATAGGGATGTCTCATATAACATAAGGTATACAGTATGCAACCCAACGCCCAAATATCAACTGCAGCTCCAATAAAATAATTATTCCACGTATCTACCATTTCTGGTGCTCGATACATTGGTGTTGTAAAGTGTGCCAACTAAAAAAACAGTTTATTAAAGTATTTTCATTTTAAATACCACAAATTTATACAGTATCTTCCAAACTAGAGTGCTGGTTGGCTGACCAGGTGAGATCTGGTTGAAAAACATCAACAGTAGCAGATCCAAAATCGCAGAGTTTTATTGTACCTTCTGAACTAATAAGTAGATTTTCTATTTTCAAATCGCGATGTATAATAGAAGGTGTTTGAGAATGCATATGAGCAACTGCACGACATGTTTGGTACAATATCTTTGTAATGATCTCCGCACTAAAAGCTGTTGTTCGTGACTGAAGAATATCAACTAAGGATCCACCTAAAAATTGTTTACATGAAAGTAATGCTTCAAAATTACACTAGGAATAACTACCAGGACATAACTCTGTAACAAGTAAAAATTCTGACTGGCCATGATTCGTTTGAGACTTATCAACAAATGAAGCAGATAAATATTGCACTATGTGTGGGTGACCCGAAATTTTCTTAAGGATATTAATTTCACGTATAACATTTTTTTTAGTGTCCTCATCAGCTGCCAGGAGTCTCTAAAATTTTCAAATGTAATATGATACATGTTCTGAATAGTTATAACACAAAATTACTTTTAAAGCATAATCTTTTCCTGTAGCTACATCCTGTGCAACATATACAATTGCAAAACCACCTAAAAGTGAGAAATTAGCAAAAGAATAATGAATCAATACACAAAAGACCAAAACCTTCAGCTATAACTTTTTTAATTTTTAACTTTACATTGGATATTTCGACTACTTGCCCCACAAAACTGTTTTCACTTTGATTCGTGATAGGTCCGCTGAAATATTCGAAAGCACTTTTAAATAAATCACTCATTTTTCAATAAAATAAACAATGTATTAAAACTTTTATTTTCTTTTCCACCTATTTGCCAATGTCAAGTTGTCAAAAATTCATACTTTGACAATGACATTTACATGACATAAAAATATTTTGTGACATGACACTGACACAGTACACAGTGTTGCAAACATTATAAGAAAAAACCAGGAAAAAACATAAATTTAAAGATAATTCAAAAATAGGATTATGATGAAAATCATTTTAAATTTTTTAAATATTTTTATCCTTTGTAATAACTACTACTGTACTACTCTTGAAAATGATAATCCTAATCCTCAAATCGGAAGAAAAATACCTTTTACGGTAGATTCCTTTTAATACAGGTTGATGTCATCATGGATGACGTCAGGCAAATGCGCGTTTCGCGAAAGTTGTTTCTTATTTATAAAAAATCATTATTTAAAATAGATTTATATTTTACTTATATTTTACTAATAGAATATAATTATAGAAGATTGTACGTCAATTATATGTATACTCATACGTTTTGTTAAATTACATTTCAATAAACGCTTTCTTACTATTCAATTCATTGAAAAAAATATTATACATTTTCCAGTTGCGGCTTTTTTTGGCGCATTCACCATTTTGTCAACATTTTTTAAATTATTTGAAAAATTATTGGTGTGTTCACCATTTTGTCAATATTTTTTGTTATTATTTATACACTAATACCCTTGTTTAGGCTAATACCTATAATATTTTTCATTTAGTTTGGGCTAAAACGCATTACGTAAAAAGAGATACAACCAGTTTTCGATAAACACATAATTTTGCATTCCAGTGAAAATATAATTAAATTTAAATTAAATATAATAAACATTATATACAGTGTCCACCATAAAGTTGGATCCATATGGACGTTTTTTTTATATTAGAGTTTAAAAAAAAATCGTTCTGAATGGTTTTCGAATCTCCACTAAAGACGTTTTTAATTTTTTCATAATGTTGTTTAATTTCCAAAGGGCTTATTTCAATTAATATCTTTAATAACTCCTTAAAATTTCCTCTGTATCATTGAGTCAATCCTTTCATCGTGCCTACGAAAAGGCAACTCTTGCTTGCTTACATATAAGACTGCTTGGATAACTACCCGTACACAAAGTCTATTTAAACGAACATTTTCCTTAAAATTAAGCTTACGAGTATAGAGTCTCGCGTTTTTTTTTCTAAAGCATCGGCAATTGTATTTTGATTTTTTTTAATTTCTTAGCATTAACTGACATTTTAAATGTTCTGCAGAATCCCCGTGTTTATGCCAATTAAAATAAAAAAACCAGGAAGACTTAAATTTAGTATTATAAGATTTACCACTTTTTCTTATTTCTTTTTTGCAATTTATGGTTAAAGATTCAGTTGGTCTTCCTTGAGATAAAACATCCCTCTTATCTTCATCTGTCCACCGTCTGAAGGGAGTTTCCAATAAATTGCACACCAAGTTATTAATTGGGTTTATTTTTTAACACATATACACACACACACAAAACAGTTTTAAAACACAACAACAAAACAAACAGCAAAAATTAACAAGTTAAATCAACAAAAACCATTAACAAACAACAATAAATAATCAACAACAACTTTACAGTCTTTACACGGTTAATTACTCGCTGGAGTAGCCGAATATTAGCTTAAAGAAAGACGAAGCGAACTGCCCAAAAACTCATTCACATCGGTCGCCGATAAAAAATGTTGGGGCTGGAGATTTACATGTTGCCGCTAGGCTGACATAACATAGGCGCGTGAGGGACAATGCTACTTTTTCGGCCGGAATTAACAATGCGGTGGACCTATTAAGCAGAGGTCCGCCCGGAAAAAAATAATATACAGGGTGCTACAAATTCGAGGTACGAGCATTGGTAGCTCGGTAACCGTAAGAGATACGAACATGGTTAAATTGGGGCAAAGTTGCGTATTGGAATGTTCACCAAGATGCCATCAAAAAAGTTTTAAAAATTTCAAGGATTGCTGAGTTTTTTGGAAAAAACTGATTTTTTTGAAAATCAATTTTATATTTTCCTGTCGTTATTTTTTAGAAAATCAAAAAACTAATTGCACATTCTCATAGCCACTTTATTAGGGCTATCTGATGGCATTCTTAGATTTTCAAATTAGCTGATAATTTGTGAGATACAGAGGCCAACTTAATTTTTTTAAATACGGACCTGCATTACCTATTTCATGTTTTGAAAGAACTCGGTCTCCTGAATACAATGATATGCCACACTTTATACTTTTTTTTGTTTTGGATACCTTTACAGCAACAAAACTATTTAATTATTATTTAAAATAATTTCAAGTCCGACTCTAGTTTCTTAAATTATTTAATCTGATTATATTCATCGCAACAATATTGATCAGCGCTAATTAACATTGATGGAAAATCGAACCAACTGGAAGATTCAAATAAATTATACCCAGGTCAGCAATTTAAAGATAATATTTTTAACTTTTTTATTCTGAATTTGAACTCTCAGTGTGCGATATAATAATATGCTTAATATTAATAGTAGTTATTATAAATAAATCAACTTCTACAAACTAGTTTCTAATGCTCTACATGTTCGAAAGGGTTACCACCCTCCCTATTGCACAAATTTATTTTTCGTTCAATTTTATTTATAGCTCTTTGAACTTTCATCTTATCCTTCAGAATGCATTTTGTACTCTTTATTATAAATGTTGAGATGTACTGATTTCACTTTTACAAATGACGTGAAACTAATGTATTCATTTGTTTATTATTTTTTATGATTTTATTGCATTTGATTTTCCATATTCAATGTTTTACCCCACGTCATTGTTAAGTTTGAAAGCTTATCAATATTGTAACGATAAACAGATTAAATATTTAAAAAAAAAGAGCCGGACTTGAAATTAGTTTAAATAAATTGTGTTCAAATGTCTGAAACAAAAAATATTAAGTGTGGCACATCATTGTACCCAGGAGATTGAGTTCTTTCAAAATCTGAAATAAAAAAATGCAGGTCCGTATTTAAAAAAATTAAGTTGGCCTCTGTATCTCACAAATTATCAGCTAATTTGAAAATATAAAAATTCTATCAGATAGCCCTTATAAAGTGGCTATGAGAATGTGCAAAGTTTGATTTTCTTAAAAGTAACGACAGGAAAAAATAAAATTCATTTTCAAAAAAATCCGTTTTATCCAAAAAACTCAGCAATCCTTGAAATTTTTAAAACTTTTTTGATGGCATCTTGGTGAACATCTCAAAACGCAACTTTGCCCCAATTTAACCATGTTCGTATCTATTACGGTTACCGAGATACCAATGCTCGTACCTCGAATTTGTAGCACCCTGTATAAAAAATTACAATTTTATTATTTAGATACATGTAAATATATTAAACTAAATTAATATTTTAAGCAGTAAAGTTTTTTCTTTAATTTGAGTATTTTTTTCGGTGAAGTGCCCCTTCACCTACTGCACCTGACGAGCCGCCACTGACGTTTTCAAAACATGATATTTGTATATTTTTATGACGCGAAAGAGATGAAAATCTTAGTTTTACGATTTAAAATTCTCTCTAGACTAATTTTAATATTTTTAAAGTACAGGGTGTCCCATTTTGATTGAAATCATAGGGTATCTCCGTTATTAGTGAAGTTAGAAGGGTGCGGTTTGCACAAACCTGTACCACTTTTTTGTCAAACGGAAGATGCCGTAAACAACATTTTCATAGCGCTCTTCGTTTCTGCGCTACAGGGTCTTTTTGAAAATTTTGCAATTTGGGACAGCACCCGTATCTCCATTATTGTGGATGATATCGAGAAGGTGAAAACTGATTCTTGTAGAACTTTTTACGTAGAATACAGCGGCGTTGTCTGTTTCTCTACGGAAAAAATATTTTTGAAAATATGAACTAAAGTTATGTTTTTTTTAATGGAACACCCTGTATATTTATAAATCATGTGATCCATCTTGCTATGAGCTTCTTAAAAATATATATCACTTTATATTTATTTTCACTTTTTACTTCAATATTTAAAATATGTCATTTTTTTATTAGTAGGCCATGATAAATAACATAAAAATCAAAATGGTATTTACTAAAAATAGTCATACACACATTAAAACTTTATTTGGGATTGATATATTTTACTTTGAACTGTTATCACTGAATCTCTGAATATATTTTTCTTTCTTTATAACGGAATTAGGTGGGATGTAATGGGATGTAACGGAATTTGGTGTGAATTGTAACGGGATGGGTTTGCAAATATCTAAAATCTTGCATTATTAAAGAATTTTCCTGGTGTTCGACATTGTTGTAGTTGCCACAATAATTTCATATTTTAAAAATCCCCAAAATCAGAAATCGAGAACCGGGAATCATCAGGGAAGCCATGATATGGGTCCATTGGTTCCAATTCATTGATTTGAGAAATAATAATTTAACAAAATTCTAATATTTTCAAAGTTGTTAGGGAAAGCCCCATCTTGCTGAAAGTATATTTCACGCAAATTAGCTAAAGGAATATCTAAAAGCTCCGGTACGATAACTTCTAAAATTTACAAATAGCGGTAGAGAGTTAAGTTTTCCTAATGTATAAAAAAATTATTACTGGTTCCTAAAATAAAACAAGAGACAGATAGCAGTATACTTTTAATAATACTTTCTTTTATATGGCCTACCAATAAATATGATCTTTTAATAAAAACTTTTAAATATTGCAGTAAATAGTGAAAACAACTATAGAGTGATATATATTTTTGAGTAGCTTATGGCAAACCAAATTATATAATTTATAAATATACAGGGTGTTCCATTTAAAAAAACATAACTTTAGTTCATATCTTCGAAAATATTATTTTCGTAGAATAACCGACTACGCCACTTTATTCTCCGTAAAAAGTTCTACAATAAACAGTTTTCACCTTCTCGATACCTTTCGCAATAACAGAGATACTTGCAAAATTTTCAAAAAGACCCTGTAGCTCAGAAACAAAGAGGGCTATGAAAATTTTGTTTACAGCATCTTTCGTTTGACAAAAAAGTGGGACAGGTTTGTGCAAACCGCATCCTTCTATCTTCACTAATAACGGAGATACCGTA